AAGTCCAAAAGGAGCCTCAATTTGGCCGTTTACACATTCACTGCATCAAAAAGACACTCCCGTCCACACCCCAATAAACGTACCCATTGATACTAAATCCCACGCCGACTATAAGTAGGTCTCAACTACTACTACATTTCGGCCAAAGCCGGACATCACTTTAACCTCATTGTTTACGGTGTACACTTCACTGCTACCTGGAGATTAGTTCTACGACAATGTAAATTTTCGGGCACACCTGCTAACACTGTACATATATGTACATGTAAATAGACTTTGAAATATGAACATGTAAATAGACTTTGAATGTGGGGCTTGGTTAAATCTACCTGATTGGTAGATAAGGCTAAACGCAACATTGACCCAAGCAGGGCAAGCAGATGAAGATTGTAGATTGTGCTTCGAGGTATGCGTATCAACTATCGTTAACAGGGATATCACCATTTTTGCTGTCCGTATCATTGTTTCAATAACTTAATAAATAAACAAACATCTGCATAGAGAAAACGTGTGTTATTTACACAATAAATACAAATAATCGGCCACATTTACATTCGTCTTGAGATATTAAAAACATGTACTCCCCTGGCTTCCTTCCCACCACCCCCATACTATAATCATCTCATCGAGTTACCTATGTGCAGCTAAGTCCATACAGGCAATTTGCACAGACCATTTTTCCATACTTTGATGTTGGTCCAGCTCGCCTCTAATCTAGGAGCTGGTGTCTCCTTCAGAATAGCAGCTACAACCAAATACACGAGATACGACCACACCACGTACAGAAACACTGGGACTTTAATCTCTGCAACTGTGCCAATACATCAGCAATTTTACATCTGCCTTTGGCAAGTGTACAAGGCCCACTGATTGTTCTTCCCTCTAGTTAGTGAAATTACTCTGTACACCACTATCGACTTTGCGTAGAAATTCAGTCTCTTCAACAACTGTCATTACTTACAACGTTTACATCATTCTTTTACTAGGGAAACTCTCATAGAGGCATGGTTACTCTGTATTAGAACTGTTTTAACGTATGGGCCTTCTGGGGCAAAGAGGGAGCCACAAACTCACAGTTACCAACAACTCACAACCCTTACATCTTCTTACACATCTTCAGATATAAAACCTTATCTTCAGACACACAATGTAGAATACACACATTCCTTAGCATTAACATCTGTTGTTGTTTGTTCTATCTATTCCAAGAGGCATAAAATGCATTGAATGAAGTAGAGGACTTAAGTGGACTAGAATGTAATAGATTTACATGAAATACAGGCACTACAATGCATTTATCTTATTGTTACTGCTTGGATTCAGATTATCTGTATTTCAATTAAAAGACCATTTCTCTAGGCTCCCTTCTTGCCCCCACTTTTGGCACTGTGCCTTATCTACATATTGAGAGTGTCATCAACAGAACTGAACTGAACAAAAATCACTTGGTAGGGTAGGTCTATCACACAATGTGTTAGGGTTCACAAAGGTTGGTGACAGACTTCAGTCGGCTATAATAACAGCCACAAACTGATCTGATGCAGCTAAGCAGCTAGAGCTAATATTACGTATTATAACATTCAGGTATATTCACAATACAGACCCTCAGTACCGGGGACGGGCCTGGAACGGCTGTCTCTGTCTGAACGCACCAGGGGGTGGTGGGTACGGTGGTGGGGGAGGGGGTTTTCTGATAGCAGGTGACCTTGGCCCAAACCCAAACTGTCTGGGTCCGTGTGGCCTCGGGCCGTGGTGTCTGGGCCCGGGTAGGCGATGGCCCGCCTGTCTGGGACCATGTGGCCTGGGACTTGCTTGCTGCCGAGGCCGCGGTGAGTAGAAAGGGTCTCTGGGCCCGAAGCTGGGCCCTGGTTCAGACCTGGGTTCCAGTCTAGCGATGGGGTTGCCTTGGGGAACACTGGGCTGGGAGCCACTGTTTACAGCAGTCAGGGTACCTGTGTCTATGTTCCGGTCGCGGTCAAACTGCTGTGGTCGGTCGCGCTGGACAACATCGATCGACTGTCTCCTTTCTGGGTTTTGTCCACGGAAGGTCCCACCACCACCCCCTAATCGCTGAATGGGCTGACCTGCCATGGCACTCCCCCCTAACCGCTGTATGGGCTGTCCACGTCCCGTACCTAACTCATTTTGTTCACCGAGACGCTGGATGGGCTGCCCCTGCCCAACCCCTGCGTCCCCTATCCGCTGAATGGGCTGTCCCTGACCAAACCCTCCTTCGTTTGTGTGGTTGGCCTGACCAAACTGCCCTCGCTGTGTACCCTGCACCTGCTGCCCTCGGAAATCTGGCTTCCCATCTGTGACGGTGGGTATCCGCGGCCCCTGTATGGGTACATTTGTAACTGGTGGTCCACCAGCATTGAACTGGTTATCCCCCATTGGTAACCTCTGAGGCATCATCCCCCCTCCCCTCCCCACACCCTGAAACTCAAGACCATTCCCTGGGACCAGACCCTGAGGACTCTGAAGTCTTGTGCTATTGTCCACCCCACCCCCTAACGGTGCTATGCCCCTGGGAGGCGGGGCACCTACAGGAGTGCCTCTCCCAACAGCTGGGGTGTTCTTGTTCTTTAGGATACTCCTGGGTGGAGCCCCAGGAGGTGTTCCCATAGGTAAGGCTACTCCGGGACCGTTTGCATTCTTCAGGATGCTCCTTGGAGTAGACGAAGGCTTTACCTTCATGCCCTTGTCTGGTTGATGATACTGCTCTAGTCCTGCCATCTGGTTATGTGGGGGAAGAACACTGGAGATGGGGGCACCTTGGGGGGTACCACCCTGACCTGTGCTCATGACAGTCTGGGTCTCTGCCTGGCCCCCCTTCCCGAGTTTCACCAAACCTGCTAGTTTAGACAGCAAGTCGGACTGTCCTGTTCTACCACCTTCACTACTCGTCTGGTTTATCAACCTAGATAAGAGATCGGGCGCGTTGGCGACAGGTTCCTCATCTTGCACAGGAGTTGCACCCCCTTCTTCATCATGGAGGGGGGTCCCAATGTCATCAGGGGGTGTCATACCCCCCTCTGGAGTCACCCCACCCTCTGGTGTTTTGTCTCCGCCCAGATCGGGCTGTGGTGGGACAGGGGGGACCGTGGCAGGGACATGCTGAACTGGGACAGGCTTTTGTGGCCACACAGTGGATTTTGAAGGGCTGGGCTTAGTCTTTCCTTCCGTCGTTGCATTTTTGCTTGGTTTACTGGCGACAGCTTCTGGGGACTCCTGGTGTGATTTCCTGACTGGTGAGTCAAAAAGACCCGAGACTGCTTGAGGCAAACTTGGTGCATTGCTCATCATTTCCCTTAACCTGGAATCTAAGCTACTTTCCCCACTTGCTGCTGGCTTCTCTTTCTGACTGGCCTGCGACAGAAAACTTGTTGATGCCGCAGCAGGACTCAATTCTTCTGTGTCTGCTGACTCATCCTTGGCGGAGTGACCCTTCTTAGCGTCCGAGGACTCCTTACCTTGAGCAGCAGACTTAGACTCTGTCTTTGACAGTAAAGACACTAACTGAGCTGCGTTCATTTTCTTGAGAGTTGAGGGGTCAGTGACCCCGACGTTTTGCAATAGTTCCAGGATGTTGGCGCCGGCAGCGGAGGCAGAGGCAGCAGAGGCTGCGGTGGGTTTCTCGTTCTGCTGCAGCTTGGCTCTCTTGCTGGCAGGTCCTGTGTGGGAGTGGGAGGGTCTGATGCCTGTTCCTGTCCTGGTTATGCTGGACTTGCTCGGGGTAACGGCTATTGGGGAGAAGGAACAGTTTTTAATCTGACTCTTAAACTCATCTCTTTAATACGCAAAAGTCTTTCCTTTCAGTGCAAAAATACCACATTGTCCTTGCATGCAAATATCATTATCAGTAACTAACATTGAACATGAAAAACAACCGAAGCAATTAGTACTCAGCAACTTACTAAGTAAGCCTTATCTAATTTAACATCTTCTGGGAAAATGACTGTATTCCAGACAGAGCTTCTTCTCCATTTTTGATTTTTGAGTTGATTACACAAAACACAAATTTTTCCTACATTATTTCCATCCAAGGCTAACTAAAGACTCTTTCATCTGCATTTACTGTAAGTAACAAGAGACATACACTTTACAAGTGTATGTCTGGACCTAAGCACTTACCACTTTAGCCCTGTTTCTGTACATGAAAAAAGAGTGCATGTACCAATGTAGGAAAAGACGTGAGAACTCACCAACAATATTTGAAGCAGTCTTCCCCTCCTCGTCCTCATCTGAGATGTCCATGTCCTCCACCTCCCTGGTGTCGGGTTCCTCAGGGGGAGGGGTACTCCCCGGGGACGGGGCGTCTTCAGACGGTGAGGGGATGGGACTGTCTGGGTCAGGCAGGTCCTTCTTGTACTGGTCAATCCTCTTCTTAAAGTTGGAGATTCTGGTGCCAAAGTTCTTGTAGGCCTGAGAGAAGCAGAGAACATGTAGGGTTAGTAAAAGTATTAAATTATTCAAAGAATTTTACCAAGCACCAAGCACACTCTAATCCCTTTTACTAGGGAGTGAATGAGACCTATATACATCAGAACTACATGTAGATGTACTGACTATTGATTCTCAACTATGAATAAAAAGCATCCCCCAGGAGAAAAATAGGACTGTGCAGGAGTACAATTGTAGAAGATTTAGTATATTCAATGCTCTAGGGTAAAATTATGGTGTTATTTGGAAAAAAAGTCTATAAGGTACCCCCAAAATCCAGTTTTAACTTGTTAGTCGCATAATGTTATTAGGTAACTGAGATGGTGCTTTGAAAACAAAGGGAAGCATGATACATGTAATACAAGTACATGATACATGTAATACAAGTTCTACAGAGTCCTCCCTACCAGTTCAAGGTAGTCTAGTCTTCATCAACCCCCCAGACTTACATTTGCCACAATCTTGGCTTCACTGTGTTGTGTGGAGTAGAAGATCTCTGCCTGCTCCACCAACTCTACCATCTTTTTCCTCTCAGCCAGCTGTTTGTCCATGCTCTTCACAAACTCCTCCAGTTTTACTGTCGCCTCGTCAAACTCCTCAGAGAACTTCTTACCTCCTTGTCGATCTGAAAGGAAAAACAGAATTACAGTTGCTATCACAAGTACTCATGCAGCTGAACATGATAGCTACCAGAGCAAAGGCCATAGGGACAAAAACAAATACAAAATTCATATACAGTAATTCAATGTTTTTTTTTGTAGGAATTCTTTTTTGAATAAGGAAATTTCTTTTGCAACTTTAACAGTTTAATGGTTACAACAAATGGCCACAAAGCTTGCTCTGGTTGCTTGTACAAGAAGCCTTTAGTGTTTGGCAGTATATCTGACAAATTGCCCTGTAACAATGTAACACTTCTACTTAGTGCCCATGTATTACAGGCCTTGCAAGCTTGTATGTAAGCAACTTTCCGTAATCTCTTAGCAGACACCAGAAGGGAAGATGGTAGTGTATTCTGACTGGTCTAAGTTCATGACACATATGTAACTGTATCAGGGACTTGGCCCAGTCAGAAAACACTACAATCTTCCCTTCTCGCATCTGCTTGGAGATTAGAGATCCAGGCCTTACAAGTATAATCCGCAGACTCCCTTTCAGGATGCTGCGGGAGGCCATCTCTTGATGACAGCTCGCCAAACTTTTTGAAGAACTGATTACGCCCATGCGGATCTAGGCAGTGATGACATAACACGGGATGAGTCATGATCACAGGTATAACGAGTAAGCTTCTTCAGGGGTTGAAATACCATCTACATGTATATAGGCTGAGATTAGTGCAGGTAAAATTGCAGCTATTTCTGATGTCTACCTGCACTGGTCTATATAGTATTCCTATATACAAAAAAAAAATATCTGTGCAATGTCCTGCAAATTAATGCTCAATATGATGATCTACCTTCATAGTGGTGCACCTAAATTTTTGCTGGTGCACCCAAATGTTGGGACCTGGGAGGATCAGTGCTCCTAGAAGTTAGTCTGGAGCACTGCAGATGTAGCTGGTAACAGAAATGGTTGCATACCACCAAAGTTTAACATACCTTTTAACTGCTTGAGTGTTTCACTACTCGTGACGTCCACCCGAAGCTGGCTGAACTGCTGCTGGCGGAATATCACGTCGTCTTCCAGTCGTTTGAAGGAACTGATGCTGTCAATCAGCTTCTGAGGCTGGGGATAATCATTGTTACAAAATATTAATGAAATGTGTTATAGAATGTCAATGACACATAATTATATAAAAAGCATCCAATTCAATATTAGGGCAGCAATATAAAATATATTCTTGATGAGGAAATCTTAGCACATTTCGTCATCACTTCATACTTAACGTGGAACAGCCCCCAAAAACAAGCTAAGCACTTGGAGTCCCTTTATTTTTTTTGTACCTTCAATAAATAGCTAGAACAGCCTACGATACCATCAGTTTTACTGCCCTGAAATTGCTTTGGGTGCCTTAAGGAAAATAACAGCTACAGAACATTAACTGATAGCTTCATGTATCATTACATGCAATCCCTTACAATCTGTGACAGCTGCTTTTTCTCACAGGCTACATATACAACTGACAATTAGAAAGCCAATGACAGTTATAGAGTAATAATCTTTAAATGACCCGCTATAGAACAGGTTGACTTAAACATTTATTCCAATAATTTTTTTTGCCTCTTCATATTCAGGATGGAAGCTGATGTTTTTTTCATGTTCAATTGTTTATGAACTGTACTACTTTGCAATTCAATAGACCATCACTAACCTTGAACTCAGCAAGGACCTTTGTGTTCACTTTTTTGGGACGAACTTTTGAACTCACTGAAATGTAAACAATGGATGATTGTTAGACACTTACACTACTACAGATTTCTTGACACTAGTATTGAAACACCATAAAAACAATACCATATGAAATACTAGTACGCAGTGTTTCCGCCAGACTGCCGCTGAGAGGCCGTCCAGTTGGGAAGGGCCGGGTCGCGAAAATTAATTAACTTAGGGAACACGTCGCGAAAATTAACTGAGGGGGCGGGGCATTTGTTTACACTTGTTCGAGTTCAGGCCGTCCAAAACGACACCAGGCCGTCATATGACGGGTGGACGGCCCTCTGGCGGAAACACTGCTAGTACGTTGAATGACAAAAGACTTGCTGTTCAAACGTCTAAAATAGAAAGGAAGCCTCACCCAGTGCTCCTTTAAGTTGTGTGATGAAGTCACTGTCATACACACTCCGCTCCTCCCAGATGTTGAAGATCCTGTCTACAGACTTACGGATGGAGGAATCCCTGCATAGGTTGAGACGGTGTTTGATGTCATTATCTAATAAATACTATACCTCTTTTTTTAGGTATAGCCTTCATAATCATAATGGTAGCATGATATACCTTTTACAGAGAACATTGTGCATATTTTTCATAGGAATCATTAGAATCTTTTACACTGGCAGAAAAGATCAATTGCACTATGCACTATTGAAGTACAACAAACAATAACTAGGAAAGGTTATGAAGATGGGATGGGGGATTGTGTGCGTGAAAAATCTGTGCATGAAAATATGCAAATTAGCAGATTCCTGAGCGATTTAAAAACATTTTGCTGTCTTAAACTTAAATCTTAAAAGTTGGAAAAAAATTACATGAAACAATATCATTTTATTGTATTCTAGACTTTCAAACACAAATTTCGGGTAACTAACACATGGAAAATCATACTACACTGGACAATATTTTTCCGCCTAAGAATTTTGTACTGCATATTTTTAAACATATTTCAAGGACTTTTATTTTTCATGCGCAAGATTTTCATGTGCAACTTTTTAATGCGCAGAAAACCGGTTCCCATGAAGATGAGGGTACAATAATAGTTAAACTGTTTACAGTTAGCCAAGTGTCCATGGAACAACAATCAAGATTAATTTTTGTAATGGTGGCATATGTCTACTCCTTACCTGGTGAGTGATGCAGCTTCTACAAGCACAGTCTTGAATGACTCATTATACGCCGTAGCACCCTTTCTTCGTCCATTTTGTAGTACATCATTGCAGAGGTACATCAGATTCAGCTTTTCTGGAGGCTTAGCTGTAAACGGATAAAAATGTCATTGGAAAATAAAATACACACTCAGTCTTTTACATCAAGAAAGTACATGTAAA